ACCATCACCTGAAAATGCTGTCCAGATGAAAAGGTAGAGGAGAGAAAAAGAGCAGCACACACCATCAGGCACCATGAGCCCCAATTCTCAGGGCTCACTGCACCTTCTGCTCTACCAACACCAGCATAATGCTGATACATTCTTAAGCAAATACAGGGAGAGGCAAATTACACAAAAAATACACAAAAAATAAATATGGCCTTATTTAAGATTAGGAAATCTAGCAAGAGGTAGAAAGCTTATGAACACAAATTTACTGTGCTCTCAAGTTTAATTAAAAAGTTTCTGTGCTTTAAAGATAAATATATATAAGTACAAAGTCCCACTTGCTAGTACAAAGCAAGTGAAATCAGATTGTTTTAACAAGTTAAAGTATCACCCAGACTATCACATGCAGGCCAAACAGAAGGATCCACCTTTTCTAAGTCAGAAGGGGTGAAAAAACTGAAAAGCACTGAACTGATGTACTCTCAAGTAGCTATTCACTTACTTTCACATATAACTGGGACTTACAGCCAAGGAGTTGCTCACTTCATAAGCATTGACTAAACTCACTCGAAGTAAACCAAACCCACTGAAAACTCCAGGTGATTCTATACCAGACACTACCCCAGATAACTATCATTTAACAGGTACTTAAAGAAATCCATTTCGGGATCATAACTTCTATGAATTTGACGATGAGATCAGCCAAAACATAGTTCTACAAAGAAATCATTGTAAGTGTAAACCATTTCTCCAAATTCACTAAGAAATGTACAGTTCCTACGATACAGGATGACTTTTAAACACTGACACCTAATCATGAAGAAAAGAGGAGGAAGGGCTGAAAAAAAGTTTTGTTTTCATATGTAGCTCAAAGAAATATTTTTTTGATACTTAATAGTTGAATAATCGAATACATACTTTATTTTACTGAACCTTGTAGCCACATCCTCCCCTTCTTTCAGCTGAATGAAGCAGTGTGTTACCATTAACATCAGTACTACTATAGTCATCTCTCAGAAAAGATTAACAGAGACAGTGATACAATTCACCAAAACAATGGAGCTCTATGTGGCTGGCATAATGGAGATTCAGTTAAGAACTGATTCACACTTTGTTTTTTTCAGAAGGATTTTGTTTTTTGGTTTGGGGGCTTTCCTCATCCTTTTTTTTTCCCTTAATATTGCCAGGCAAGTATTTCTTGTGAATGCCACCCACACTAAGATTATGTTCTTTTCCCAAACTAAGTGTCAGTGTTAGATTAGGTTATTCTATCATTATAAATGAATCAACTAAAGGATTAGTTTTCAAGACATTAACGGGCAATTCCGACAAGAAGGTTCAACAGGCTTGTACTAGAAATTCAGATTTGAAGCCAAGCTGGACTACAAACATCTCTGCTGAAGTAATGTTGGAAAAATAAGTTTAATTACACTAAAGATAGAATTAAAAGCTTCTGGAGATCTGGAGACTTCAGTATCACAGAAAGGTATCACACAAAGTCATCATATAATAACTATATCTATTCCATATGCATTCTCCTCATTTTAAGACATAGCAATAGATTATTTTTACTCCATATCAGCTAAACATAACTTACGTCTCAAACTTTTTATTAACAGAGAAGTGGAACACAATTAACTTGACAGCCCACACATTCATTTCTGAAAGTTCCTTAGCCTAAAGGAAACAGGCATGGAAGTTCTCTGAAAGCTAGCCTTTTCCAATGAAATGCACATGGTTGCTTCAGAGAAGGGAGGAAAAAAAAATATGCAATATTTCTATAGCAACAGAGTTTAAGACATGTAGCACCCTTTAAATTTATTTTGTTCTTTCATTGTGATTTAGTCAAGATGTTTAACACAACTATTTCTGCTATGCTAAAATCTTATTTAACACAGCGACAAAGAAATAAATTACCAAATCCTAAATTTAAAAAAAAAAAAATTAAAAGCTGAATACATTAGTACTGTGAACATTTAGAAGTGTAACATTTTTCCTTCATCCACATTTGATATTACAAAACTGCATAGACTTAAAAAGAGGGCTGATGTAACAGTGATTTCCTCAGTTTACTTATGTATTGTTTTAATACTCATTTAAATCTACATTATGAAATTGATTCTTACTGCTTCTGATATAGAAAGCTGGTATAATCATTGACAAACAAATCTGCAATTAGATACTAAAGAATTATAGTTAGAATATGGAATTCGGAACCAGGAAACAAACTCTATTATTCACTATATTATATACAAACTTTAGTGATAGTAAGTCACTGATCATTCACATGTTAGAAGTAACATGAGAATGCTAATGTTCTGAAGTAAAAATCCAGATAAAAACCCAGTCATTAGGTTTAGCTCACGGGTAGTGTTAAAATTCTTTAAAATTCTCAAATAGAAATTATGACAAATATAAGGCATTCCTGTTACTTTCACACGATGAGCACATAGTTCACAATTACTTCAGTTATCCCCATTGTCTACACTTTCAAGGTAGTTCTCCCTCATTATTGTTTCATGATTGATGTTCATCATCTACACAGAATAAGCATACAAGTACAAGAAAATTTTCATAAATAAGAACTCATATCTTATCCAGAGCTTAAACAGTACCTATGAAAACGTTGGTTAGTTTTTTTCTGTCCAGATTTCTACTGCTGAGTGTTAAGCGTTTGAGAGAGACTAAAAGCCAAGGCTTACATGTGAACAGTTTCCAAGGGTTTCCATATATAGTCAGTTTTATAAATAGCTATTTTTATAACAGCACTGAACTGACTTTTCGTTATATATAGAGAGGGTGTTTTCTGCATACAGAAATTATTCTGTTATTCTACCTTGTACTTGCAATCTTAGCTCTCCTCCTACTCACACGGTCCTGCTCTGTTTCCAATAGAAATGGCCAACGTTAGCGTCAAACCACACCGGCACTGTGGTTCACAGAACACCAGGTTGGAAGGGACCTCAAAGATCATCTGGCCCAACGTTTCTTGAAAAAATCACAAACTAGACAAGGTGGCCCAGCAGCCCGTCCAGATGTGTCTTACAAGTGTCCAATGTTGGGGAATCCACCAGTTTCCTGGGAAGATTATTCCAAAGGTTGACTGTTCTCTTGTGTCCCACAGGAATATCCCCACAAATAACTTGTACCCACCACCCCTTATCTTTTCCATGGGACTCCTTGTAAAAGGGAGTCTCCATCTTCCTTTTAGCCATCCTTTAAATACTATAACATGATGTTAATTAGATCAGTGGTCCAATAACGGTTTCCACCAAACTAGCCCAAACCTCTATTTTATAAAGAGCTCTTTCTATACTGATCATACAGTTTTTTACATTTTCTTTTAAAAATAGGCTTATGAAATTGATATTCTCAAGTTTTTTGTTAGGAACATAGACCTATAGTAAGCATTTCAGTACTTAAACCTCAGTGTGTATTTCCCCCATCATTATTAAACTAAACTGACAGGATCGATAAGAACATTAAAAATGTATCTGCAATTTCTTTGTTTCAACACTAAGTTTTGAAAACTAAGGCAGAATACATCAGCTGCAACACTAACATGTTTGTTATAACTCTCATTTTAAAGTCAGACAGGAATCAAAACAAATTTCTAGTTTCAACTTCCATAAAATTTAAATCTAAAACATTGAAGAAAGTCTTTAACATGAAAAAACTACAGATTATATATCAGATTCATTAAAACTGTCAACATTAACCAGGCATAATGCAAATATCTTTTACATGAGTATTTTTTAACAATACTAACTGCTTTTAGTCGCAGGTCTAAGCACTGGTTGAAATTAATTCAAAAGATCTAGTTCCAAAATATGGTATACCATTTGCTCTTTGCAATGCTTGATTTCGACAGCTTTAGTTTTCTTCCTGTTCCTATAAAATGTGGTCTTTTGCCCATTGTATTATATCATCCATTTCTTCTGCATGCTACAAAAATCTAAGTAGCTAAATCCAGGCAACAGAGATTTTGATACAGTGTTCCCTAAATACTACAGTTTTAGGTAAATACTGACAAACAAGGCCATACTCCTGAGAGTCATTGAATACAGAGGCTTCCAGAGGCAGAGAGCTCTCTCCTTGAAGAAAATCTTTCCAGAAGTACAATGGGGGAGATTTTCCTTCCTATTGCCAAATGAGCAAAATGAGAGAAATTTTAAACAACCACACAACTAGAGGTAATAGGTTTTATTTTATACTGGTAAACTAGTATGTCAATCTGTACAATAGAAAAGACCAATACTTCTATTATTCAATCCACCTATTAAAAATGGCACTTTGTGCTCCTACTACACACAAGTGTATTTCATAAAAAGCTTCCTTTTTTTTTTTTTTTTTTATTTTCCCACTGCAGATATCTCTGCACACACACACACACACTAAGCCAAGAGTAATCTTAAAGATCATGGTTTTTTTAGGCAAACCCAACAGACTACCTGAAATGTTAAAATCTGACACACTTACACTGAGATCTGGGAAAAATAGTTAAGTGTATGCAGAGAAAGCAAAATTAAGTGGGAATTGTGGATTGTCCTAGCCAAGAAGCCATTATCAATTGGCAACATACAACTTGATCAATCATTGCAATGGAAGCTGGTGGTGCTCAACACCTCCCTGAAAAGCAGCAGAGAGGCATGAGGACAACAAAAGAAACTAAGAGGACAATTTTAAACTTCTCTCCTGCAATACTGCAGAACCCCACAGCCATTTGTGATCTGTGTTTATCAGTATGCCAATGGATTGTCCTAGCCCTGCTCTGTTGTACACTCCCTTACAGCCTGCTTGAGACGTTCCTAAGCTTTGCTAAATAAACGTGTATTTGCCATAAATGAGTCTTCCAGATGTGACGGTGACTAATGTATTACCATCTTGACAAGTCTGCTGAGTACAAATCAGGTAATACCTTCCCTCACCCAAGGCACAGCACACAGGAATATGCACGATCATTACTAATTTCACTATGGCAGTTCCAGGCTGTTGCTGTCTCAGACATCTACCTGCCGCAGCCATGGTCGGCCGTGCACGATGCAGACAGGAGGAGGATCTCCGAGAGCAAGCCTGGAGTAGTTCAGCAACAGCGAGCAGAGCCCTCACATACATAAAGAGAATGGAATAGGAGCTCAGCTTATTGCTCTTCCAGCCCTAGAAGAGGCATTGCTGCAGACACACCAAACCCTGCTTGAAAAAAAATCCTTTTCCCTTCCATATGGCTCCAAGGACAGCACCCGAGTTTTCCCTGCTCACCGACCAATACAAAAGATGAAAGCTGAGAGGAGAACCACGGAATAGCCCAGCAACGGGAATCCCGGCATCCCTCATCTTCCTAGCGGCTCGAAGTGAGGAACAGCCTTCCCTCCTCCCTCCTGGGTGTTGTCCCCTCCGATGCTCTCCATCACCACCTGCCTACCTTGCAACAGCTAGTGCGTTTTCTCGCAACTGGCACCGACAATGCACAAGCCCAGCAA